CCAGTTGATGGAGCTAATAAAGCACAGTGATCACAAAGGAGATAGTAAGCTGATGGTAAAACAAGTTTCCAGAGGTCGAATGAGGTAAAACAAAAATAATGGGAGATGTGGCCCCCCGAGGAACAGGACAATAATCTAAAAAAGAAGGAATACTGTAAAAGAAACCCATTCCCCTCCCTGACTTTTAAAGCTACAAATTGAATCCTGTTCCAGTTATAAGCAAGGGAGGAGAGTAACATGGCTGCTGGCAGCCAACGGTAATTGTGGAAGGCCGAGGGACCCATACAAGAGGCAGAGTCTAAGACTGACTGTCAAGCATCAGTACTTAATGGCCACCAGGCACAACTAGGAGAAGCAAAGCAGCACATGTCCTTTAAAGGATACAAAATCTGGAGGAGACAGAGAAAAGCTGTGGTGTTTGCCGTTGTTTCCAGCCCTGGGCACACACGGTTTTATGCATGTCATCATGACTAGTTAGTCATGACACGAAATACCCCATCTGTAACAAGGGCTGGTGATGGTCCCTTTGGGAACTTAAATAGTGTGGGCATGAAGCATATCATACTGCCCCTAAACCTAAAAGGGCATGTCACATGGTTCTTAGCTCAAGCCAAAGAAGTTTGGGGACGTCTGCAGTTTGCCAACAATAGCACTGCCTCCCCTCTGAGCTGTAAAGGGTGAGCAGCATAATGCAGTGCCCCGCTTCCTACTCTAACTTACGAAGGGGACCATCTGGAGGGAAGGGCCCAATGACCAGTGTTTAAAAAACAGTTTCTGTGCTTCTCAGGGCATTGAAGACTAATCAATGCCTGGAAGCATTTTGACTGTCCATCTAGAGGAAAATCAGGGCCTCTAAGAAAAAAATGGTTGGGGCAGGGGCAATGTCCAAAGTAAATGGACAATGGCAGTGCCTGTCAGGAGAGACTAGTGAAGAAGGAAAGGACAGTTGTTGAATAGGGATGCAAACCTTCACGCAAAGATCAGCCCATCCTTTCCTGCTGGGCTTTATTGCTTACGTGGAAACCTGTCATTACCCTCATCACAGACTCACCTTACTTCCAAACCCAGCTTAGTGGTCGTGTGGCTCAGATTCCTAAGAGACACATGGGAGGGAAGAGAGCTGGGGACTCAGCCCTGCCCCAGAAGAAGGTATACCTGGCTTCCCAGGATGCGGCTCAGGCCCGTTTCTCCTCCAGTGCCTCCACTCAGGCTGATGGAGGTCACCTTGCCTCCTCGGAGACTTCTCAAGAAGGATGGGGTCTGTGTTGACTGTGCTGTCCACCATCAGCCTCTGAGGGAAGCCCATCTCCAGATCATTCTCCAAATCCTCTTCAGAAGAGTTGGAGGAGGAGGAAGAAACAGCCATGGGAGCTTGTACAGTGACTCCCTCCTCTTTAGGACCCTCCAGGGGTAAGAGCTGTGCTGTGGGCTTCAGCTCCGCCTCTGGATGTTCTCTGGCTGTGACCCCAGAGGTTCTGGTTAGAGGCCACCAGCTGGATCCAGCCGAGGGGCAGCAGCAGAGGCAGCCCTGGTACAGCAGCTGGCAGCAGGCATTGGGGTGGCAGGGAGGGCACAGGAACGGGGTGCCCAGTGGAAGACCATTGGTGACACATCCAGTGATCGGCCCCAGCAGAGAGCAGCAAGGGGCCCAGAGGAGGGGACTGGGGTGCTCCCTGGTGAAAGGCTTGTGTAGCCTCTCCACAGCCTTCTTCCAGACAGCCGGGGGCACCCACCTGACCCCACCTAGAGGCACTGTAGCTATCTTGCCATTCCAGAAGTGAACAGTAATTTCTTCTTCTTTCCATGCTAGTAACAGAAAAGGGCAACGTTTTGTTAAAACTGTATCTTCTATGTCATAGGAGAAAGGTTCTCCTATCCCCAAAAGCAAAACCTCAGCACAGCTCCTCTGCTCTGCCTGCCTCCTCATGCACACTTCTCCTAGGAGAGTGTGCCAGGAACATCCCCTCACCTGCTCCATATTTACCACATCCCCATGAACTTGCATGCACCTCCCTGTCTCAGTTTTCATGTCAAAACCAGAATGCATCCTCGGGTGGAGAAAGAAGGAGCCTCCTCCTGTCATTCTCTGAATTACAGTGCTACTGACTGGTCGGCCCCACAGAAGGGGACTGTCCCAGTCTCTGGACAACTTGGTGGGGGACAGTTCATGAGTACTGGTGTGACCCCCGGATAACCCCACTATACCATAGGTTAGCTAACCAACATAGACATAGTAGTTTTAGGCTATTTTACCCTGATGGAAAATACTTTATAATCTGAAAGATATGGTTTGCATATCTGTTGCCACACCCAGGATTAAGCTGCAAGTGAGGGGCTAGGGTTTTTTTGTTTTTTTTTTTTTTAATATTGCTAAGACCCCGGAGCTGTAGAGACACCCTTTGTTCCCTCCTCTGGCCTAACCACCAGCCTTTGAGGACTACTTTGAGGCTCCTTTGAGGACTACTTTGAGGACTACTAGGTCAGCGCAGCTTCCCTTACCTCTCTGGGGGTCTCTCGCCTCCAAGCCCAATACAGTGGCAGGGCCATACCGCCGTCGGTCTGGCTCCCAGGGTGCCAGCACCTTGTCCCCAGGTTGCAGTGAGTATTTTGTGGATGGTGAGAACTGAATGACATCTTCCCCTAAGATCACGCTCTGCCGCTGGGCTGGCAGCTTTGAGCCTGTGACAAGGGGGGTCTCAAATTCCACAAGCAGGGCCCCCAGCCTCTCCAGCTGTGGGAAAGAAAACACTCAGAATAAGAACTGGCATTAGAAAATACCACAGGGAGCACAATGCTTCCCTACAACCAGGCCCTAGCGCCAGGCCCAGGGTCTTCCTTACGAACATTGAAGGCCATTTAGAGAAGGAACAGGGACAAGTGCTACTTAGAGCTGATGGTGGTGGTGCGGATGCTCTTCCGTCTCTACCTCTTTTTGCCACGGGCAACTCTTGTTTATCACTTTCTGCCTTTCCTTTCCCATTGTCTTCCTTTCCTGTTTGTTTTTTTTTTCCTATCTATTTTAGGCCTATCATCCCTGGGTCCTCTGGATCTTTCCCCAGTGCACTCCTCCTCCTCCCAGCACTTCCAAGAAGTGTTGTCCTGTGTCCATGACCAGCTAGGGGTATTGTATTCAGCCACAGGCTCACATGGACAAGGAGAGGCTGTGAAATTAGGGCAGCCCTCAGTACTGCCATTACCTCAGTGAGGAGGGTTTAGATAAGCAAATGGAATAGCATAAAAGAGAAGCTAGGAGAAGTACTAAAGCTGATTAAAAGTACAAACTTTTTTGAGAACTCAATATGATTTTAAAGAGAAAGTCTGGTTACCAATTGCTTTTATCGGATCACTAGACAGAACCTATATTTGAGCAAAACTCTGCTAATATTTCATTTGAATTCACATTATTAGTTACTTGAAAATGACAAAATGACTTTGGAAATTATAGAATTCACATTTTTTTAAGAATTCACACTAGGGGTGGCTCCATAGTGTAGTGGTTAGCACGTCTGCTTTACACACAGAAGGTCCTGGGTTCACGCCCCAGTGGAGCCACGGTCCATACCCCAGGTGCGCCAGGCCCTGGGTGCACGGACCGTGTGGGAGGAGACGCCCCACCTTCAGAGATCCAGCTCTTAAAGGGAAACGGCAACATCCATAGGTCAGTGGTGGAAGTGGGAGGGGGGGGTAGTTAAAGAGAGGAAATAATAAATAGATAGATAAATAGATAAATAGATAGATAGATAGATACATAGATAGATAGATAGATAGATAGATAAAATTCACACTAGTCTTTCCTCCATGGGTCCACATTCACAAAGTCTGACTCTGAAAAGAAGAAAAAAATCCCAAAGTAAGCAGCCACTGAAGTAAAGGGCAGGCCTGGGTTCCCTCGTGCAGGCAACCGTGCTTCTGCGTGTGTGGGCGCATAGGCAGCACGTGGGCAAACAGTTTGCTCCTAAAGGCTGGTGCCCAGAATTCAACACGTGGAATTTTCCTCAACAAAGTACTTTTATCGTACACTTTCTTTGCTCTTATGGGTTAGTTGTGTCCCCCAAAATTTATATCTTGGAATCCTATGCCCTAGTACCTCAGAATGTGACCTTATTTGGGATTACAGATGTGATTAGTTAAGATGAGGTCATACTGAGTGTGACTGAGTAGGATGGGCCCCTGATCCAGCACTGATGTCCTTATAAAAAACAGAAATTTGAACATAGACATGCATACAGGGAGAATGCCACGTGAGGATGAGGCGGAAATCAGAGTGATGCTTCTATAAGCCGAGGAACACCAAAGATTGCCAGCAAACCACCAGAAGTTAGGAAAGGCACATGGAACAGATTCTCCATCACAGCCCTCAAAAAAACCAACTCTGCCAACACTTGGACTTCCAGTCTCCAGAACTGAGAAATAGTAAATTGCTGTTGTTTAAGCCATTCCATTTATGCTACTTTCTTACACAGCCCTAGGAAACTAATACACTCACTGACATTACATTTTCACTTGTACAACCTGGCCGTGGAATATTTGTGCTTATCCAAGAAATCGAACTGCTGGGCACACACTGCTGACGAACATCACACAGGTAAGACAGGGCCACCCAGAGGAGTGTGCCAGGGAGATGTGGGGACTTAGGGACTTGCCTCTGGAGCAGCCTTTATCTGACCCCAGTAATAATAGCCATCTGGTTCCCTTCTTGCCAGGACCCATGTGTCAGCAGCGTCTCCAACTCTTCCCAGCCAGCCAGGCCCCTGCCATGCTGGGTCAGCAATATGGAGACATGGGTGATAAGATGCACAGCTGGAAAACAAATTGGATTAGAGAGTGGAGAGGAGCAAGCCCTAAAAACATCAAGAAACATGCTTCACAGACAGATCTGAGCAGCACAATGGTGTGTGTATGACCTACAAGGCTGTGTGAAGAGAAATCTACCTAAAAAGTGGCAACCTATGACTCCTGGTAAGGTGAAGTCAACTGCGGGAACAGTCAGGAGAGGACAGTGAAAGGAACCATCATTTGAGGATTGGGAATTGCTTAAGGTAATCAAAACGTGATTAGCCTGGATATATTCAAGTTAATTAATGCTGGTTCTGAGACTAGACAGCAGGCTAGAAAAGGGTACTGGGAAGCAAACTCGAAGGGTGTGTGTGGGAACCCAGGGTGAGGCGTGGAGACTCGGATGGTAATGTCAAAAGAGCAAAACTGTGAGGGCACTTGGCGCTGTGGGTCAGAGGGGAGGAGGCTGTTTTCGAGCTGGGGAAGCACAGAGGAGTTGAGTAATGGGCTGTGGGGACAGAAAAAAAGAAGCTAGTTCTTGGAATTTTGTGGACAGGGCCGAACCGGGGGTGGGGTTTGGGGGTGGTGGTAGAATTGTTGAGTCTTTTTGTGTTTCTGAAAAAGCTGTTTATTTTGTGGGCAAGGCTGGATACAGGGATGCTTAACTCTGGCTTTGCACAAGATAGTCCACATAAGCGAATCAAGAAAGGGGGCTAATTAAGGGTTCAAGCTGGCATGTCCCTAACCTAGGAAGACTAAATGGAGTAGCACGGACATGAATCTTGGGGACTTACACAGCTCGTCTGTGCTTATAGGCTGTTCCCCTCTTGAAGTCACTCTTTAGACAGATGACTGAGGATACTATTCAGGAAAAGCCAGGATAACTGAGGGGTACTGAGAGAACCTGAAGAGGGACTCGGAGACCTCACCTGAACTGTTGGTTTCAGAAACCCTAATTTCTCACATAGTGCTAGAGCAATTCTCAGTTGATGGTAAAATGAGCTAGAAACTTTATAACTGTGATGCTTGACTGCCTTTTCTCGCACATGCCAACTCTGGCATCTGCCACTCTGCTACAAGGTAGGACAAAAACCAGGCGAACCCGTGAGGTCACTAGGGTACGATGTAGACGGAGGTCATGTAATATCTTAAGTAAATCATAGCCCACACAGTAAAGAACCCTTTTGGCCTTCCCAAGAAATAAGTTCTCTCCCTTGTGGTACACTATCTAGAGCCAAGAACAGAGGAAAAAGGAAGGTGCACACCACTCCCAACTAAATGGCAGAGACCAGTACCTGGTGAGGGGGTTGTGCCAGGTGAGCCAGGGTGCTTGGAGAGCAAAGGGGCAGGTGAAGGAGAGGTCCCAGGGAAGAGCAGTGCTGGTCCAGGCAGGAGTCTCCAGGGTTGTGGCCACGCTGCAGTATTTGGGCAAAGGCACCCCAGGCTCTGCGGAGGATTCCATGGCCTTCGGAAAAACCACCTGAGAACAAGCATCACCATTATTTGAGTTGCAGCCCACAGTTCAGGAGGAGGCACCTGACTGGGGCAGGACTCAGCTCTCTGTGGTTGCCGTCTCTCTGGGACCCCACCAGCTCCCACAAACACTCAGAGTGTCCTCTGAACCAACTGCCTTGGGAACCTCAGCTCAGGAAATAGGAGACGGGTTGAAAGAGCAAGAGCTGTGATTGTAGAGAAACCAGCTTTAAATCCTTCACAGCCTATTGGCTACATGCTCACTTCACCTCTGCACTTCAGTTAACCACTCAAGAGATAATATATGGGAAGAACCTGGCATATGGGTAGCTTGATATGTTAGTTTATTTCCTCCTCCCTCCTCCAAAGTTGTAGGGACTCCTGGGGGTAAGACCATACTTCCCTTTACAAATCCTAACCCTGATGACAAATTGACCCCTAGCCCAAGGTACAAACTCCTCTCTTAAACCAGTCACCTACAGGGCTAACTCTAGCCCCAGGCACAGCTGAGATCCCAGGGCTGTGGCCTTCAGAGACCTGTTCAGAGGCAACAGCAGTGACCCAGAGCCCAGGATCACACTCCACTGCCCCCGCCCACCAGGGCCCTGTTAGGGTCTGCCTCTGCCTAAGTCCATAGGTCTGACCCCATGGGGACTTACCCACAGCTCCAAACTCTTCCACCTCAGCCTCTGCCCCTTCTGACAGTTGGGGCTCAAGGCCTCAGCTCAACTGACTCCTGGTTGCCAAGCAGGTTGCCATGGATGCGAGCCAGCAGGAAAGCTGTGAGCTGAGTGTATTGAGCATGTGCAGAAGAGTGACAGGGGCTTTCAGAGGCTTGGATGGGGTGAGGGTCAGGGGTGAGGGGGTTATTCTCCATCTTTCTCTTCAAAGAGGGGGAAAGGGATATTGGAGATAAAGGTCATTGTAGCTTCAATTCCCAAAAGCTCAGGCTTCCCCGCTGCCGGAAGAGCCAGTCATAGTGGGAAGCCAACAGGGATCCCAAGGGAGTCCCATGAGTGAGGAAGCTGACGCTACAGACTCAGGGCTATTGATCGGCCTCCCTCCTAAGCAAGCAGGAGGCTGGCATGCGGGGAGCCACTAGCTGGACCAGGGACTCTAAGATAGAATTTGTCCATAGTTTAAAACAAAATAATCAAAGGTGTGGGCATGTTTGTAACAGATGGGACTCTATTGAGAAGCAGAGTTGTAGTGACCACTTGGGGTGGTAAGAGGGAACACTGGAGACCAAAGGAACAGAAGTCTAGTTTATGCTCTTATTTGAACATCCATGAGAGAGGCTGGTATTTTGAAGCATCTGACAGTCATTGTGCACCACTGTGTGCCTGGCACTGTGTTCAGTAAAGAATACCAAAACTGTATATAGGGACCTTTGTGGGTGTCTCTCCCACACCCATTCCCCTCTACTGCCAGTTCCTGTTTCTGTTTGAAGATCCATGTGGTTAGGAGAGGCTAAAGGTAACCCCAGCTCCACAGGTGGGACGTGTGTCAATCAGCACATTCCATCTCCTGGCCACTAGTATTAGTTAGGCATGGACGTGTTCCCAAGCCTCTCCAATCAGAATAAATCTTGAGACTTTTGTTGGTAATCCTGGGTGATAGACTTTCTCTTTCCTCCTATACATAAATAAGAAAGTATGTAGTTCTGGGAGCTTCTGACTGCCTTTTGGGGATCCTGAAGCTATTTCCAAGGAAAGACAGAGAGACCTAAAGAAAACAGGTTCTTGGTGACAGTGTTGAGCTCAGCCTGAAGGTAGCCCTACTGTTAAATGATTCAGCTATGTCTTAATCGATTATACCAATTTGGAGTGGATTTTCTCTCACTTGCAACCAAAAGCATCTTAACTGATGACTGCTCTCGCAGAGCATAACTTTGTAGTCAGGAGAATGGCTGTTGCCTAGGACTACATACTTGGAGGCCAAGTTATTTGGTGCAAAGTTAGAGTCCAAGAAAAACCAGTGAAGTATCTGGCAGTGAGAGAAGGATTCCTGAATAAGACAGATGGGATTTCAGTGGTGGAAGGGAAAAGGAGAATATTCCAACTTAGGTAGGAAGCAAGAGCTAAGAGAGAAGAATTCATTTGCAAGATTGTTCTTTTTAGTGGGGAATGGAGTGTCGTGGGGAAATCAAGGTGTGAGTATTTAGGAAGGGGCCAGATTGGTGGGAGCTTTGAAAACCAAGCAGATAAATATAAACAATGTGGTAGTCAAAAGGAAGTTGTCATGGGGTTTGAGCAACGAAATGACATGAAATGCTTTAAGAAAGACTATCAGAGTGAGGATGGAGCCAGCTGAGAACAGAGCCCAGGAGGCCAGGGAGGAGACTGTTAACCGACCCACGGGATTGGAAAAGGAAAATAATGACACAAAATATTTACACTCAACACCTACCTGATCTGAGGCTCTTTGCTGGGTGCTAAAAATACAGGATGAGTAAGATTGGTCCCTATCTTCAAGGAGCTTATAGTCTACTGAAGAAAACAGAGATGGGTGTGTAATATGGCTTGTAAAGATAGAACAGGAACTGCCAAGAAAATATGTACACAAAACAAAGAAATAAATAATGTCTGGGATGTGAACATTTCATAGAGAGATGACAGTGGAGGTAAGTGACAGTGTATAGGAAGTTCTGACTGAGCTTGGTGACAGATGGGGCCTGGGAGTTAAAGGAGAAGGAAGAGCTGAAGCTAGTCATGGGAACAGAAATAAAGACATTTTGAAGGCACACGCCAAAGTATGGGGCAGTGACTATCCTTCACCGGGGTGAAAGAAAGGCCTGGCAGCTGCATGTTTTCTGGTTTAGAGAACCTGGAGAATGGTATGCTATGGACAAAACAAGAGAAGGATAATAATAGTAATTGATTAAGTAAGTAAGTAATTAATTAAGATTATGAATACTTATGTGCCAGGTACTGTTAATCTTTTAATGCTCATAATAAACATATGGGGGTAGTTGCTGTTGTTATTATTCTCATTCTGTAGATGAAGACCTGAGACATGGAGAGGAAGTAGTAGTCATAGTTTAAACTGAGGTCGTTTGATTCCAGAGCCTGCCCTCTTAACCTCTATATTAAACTGCCTAAGGAAGTCTCCTGTATGCAGGAAAAAGATGACTCTGAAATAATTTCAAGTGACAACAACAAGGTTTTGTTAACTACTTTTGCTTCAGCTCTGAGACATTTTCCCATCATGGCATGGGTAAAGTATAAATTTCTTGTCAACCCCAAATAATAAAAACCACTACATTTTGCTAAATTAAGGGAAGTTCATTGTGATTGCTTAGCATGAGGCATCTGCAAAGTGCATTTACAAGCATTCAGTAATCATTAGTCATACTTTACACTAGTTTTGTGAGTTTCTCAAAGCTGAGACTCTGGCCAAGTGTGTGAAAAATGCAAGGTGAGATAGAGAATCCTGGGGACTCCTGCCTAAGGAAGTCACCAAAGTTGAACAAGCATCTTCTCAATCTATAAGGTAATATTTAGTACATCTGAACCTAGGTAAGAAGTATCCAGCATAGGTTAGCATTTGAGCTATTATCTGCTCACACGGAAATTACATTTAGGAAAAACTATTGCACGATGCTGTAAGGGAACTCATTTGTGGTATCATTTGTTTCTATTTGGAAACACTGAATCAAATGATCCTAAAAATGGGGTCAGTGTGGAGGCTGGTGGTTGCTATTATGGAAGAACCTTTCCCAGGGTTATTCTTGGTCTCGGCCTTATCAGGGTACAGAAGAGACTGCAGGTAACTAATGTACTTGATTGCAGCTCTGAGGGTTTCTACTTTGCTGAGTCGTTTCTCCAAGTACTCCTCTGGCAGATGATGTCGGAGCTGAGCATAGCCTTCATTGACACATTTCACCCGCTGCCTTTCCCGCTCATTTCTTTTCCGGATAAAGGCTGGCCCGTAGGAGTATTCGCACCTTCTGTAATTTGGATAAGGCATCGGGAAGGAGAAAGGGCAGGGTTCACCATAATTCTCCATAATCAGGGTATCACTAGAAAAAGGCAGCAATGGCAGTTCTTCAGAGTAAGGGGATGGCGCCGAGGCCTCAGGGTACAGGTGGAAAGTGACCATAGGGTCTAGGTAGAAGGACCTGGTCAGTGGCAAGTGGGCAGAATCAGAGAAGACAGGCAGTTTTTCTGGCAGATTAGAGTAGCTTCTATTGTCCATCATTTCCTTGTTAGCCTGGAAACATAACCAAGTTTATTAATTTGGCTAAATCAAAAGAAAGCAGATATTGACTTTCTCAGAGATCAATGTTGTATAGTTTCTAAGCTCATTTTGCAAACTAGATGGGGTTACAATATTCTGTGGTCAGTAAGAGAGAGGATTTTTGGTGGTACAAGAAACGGCATTAAATAACATTGGCTCACCTTGTGAGACAGTTATTTTCTTTCAATTCTCTTTCAATCCTTATGATTACAAAGATATTGCTTTAGTTTAGTGAGAATGTGTCTTCCACACTACTAAAATGCTTTCTAATCCTTCTCAGATGGAAGCCTTCAACAAGCAATAATATCTAGCTAGAATTTAATAATATTTTACTTTTAATTTCTGTTTATTGTGAGTTATACTAATTTCACATTTACATTAGTGATACATACTTTATTTTAAAAGTAAAATCTACTTGAATAAAAAATATGAATTGATTTGAAAAATAGTAAGTAAGTAATAGTACAGGTGGAACACAGATAACAAAGATAGTGAAGGTGTATGCAAATAATTGGTTTGGGAAACACTGAATACTACGATATTCAAATATACATTGGAGAAATTATGAACTAATTAATGATCATGCAACCTCACAGGCATAGCCTTCTTAAATAATATCTGATATGCCAGGTGCCAAACCAAAAATAAAAGAATCATTTACTCTTAAAAAGTCATTATAAGATTGCTTTAAATGAGAAACTCCCCTAACACATCTAAAACACAGTCAATTTACATATTTTTACTTACACAGAACTTTAGGTATATTGAGTGAAATGCATCTGTATTTAAGTTTTTTTTTTTAATGGAACATAAGGATGAAGTATTATACTTTAAGTATTATACCACATTCCCTCTTTCTGAATAGGTCTGCATCCATCTCATTTATTAAACCACCATTAGTTTTTTGTCTTTGACTATAATAATGTTGCCACAACAGATTTTACAGGGATATTGTAGTTTAACCAATTAACTGGGAGGCAAGATAGTGCTGTACACAAAGAGTATTCACTTTTCTTTCAATTATAACACCCTTGAGTTTCAGTCTTGGCTTTGCCCCTTCTTAGCTCTGTGTCTTTAGGCAAGTTTCTTAATCTCTCGGAGCTTCAGCTTTTTCCTAGAACTAACTGAGATATTAACTATTCTTGTAGAGAGGTTGTGAGGATTAAATGAAAAAAAAAAAATGTGCCAAGCATTGGTTCTTTTCCTCTTTTCTTTCTTAACAGATGAATGTCTGTGCCACTTCCCTTTCTAAATTGTACCTTGCAGAAAACCTGGTTTATATTTTCCCTAACACTGGAAAATCAAACCAAAGCATATGAATTGAGAGATGAACAATATACCTGTAATGGAAAAGGAAAAGCAACATGGAATCTAATTGTGGGCTTTCAAAAAAGAAGGAAATATGGCTTTCTGTTAATTTCCCAGGAGGGTGATTTCTCAACATCTTTAGGAGTGAGGGGTAGTTCTCTATGCTTGACATATGTAAAGAAAAATAAGAACCGCCCCCCGCCTTCCCCCAAAGCCCTAATGTTTATGAACAAGATAAGATAACATTTTCACTTGCTTCTCTACCTGCACAGCAAAAACTCTGCAGGCTGCACTAGGTGATGGGTGGAGTAGGCTCTAAGCACCAGAATTCAAATGTGATCAAGTGTATTACAATTCTTGTGGAAAAGTCTATCCTGCCCAGTATGGCTACTGAAAGACAAATGACTATGGAAACAGAAAGGGCAGTAGGAGATGGGAGAGTGGAGATGAGGGCTGGAAAGGGTGAAGGGTGGGGAAGGTTATAATAAGTCATGGTGGAACAGTCTGGAAAAGGAGTAAATGCCAGGAAAAACTCTTCCTAATAGGGGAATGGGGATGGGGGAATGAGATAAGTGTGATAGGCTCAATTAAAAATCAAAACAAAGGAGCAGGAAATGAAAGATTCCAAATTACTGACCAAATGGCCTCAAGTAACTAACATAGAACAAAAATCTCTGGAAGATTAAAAACTAGCCAAGATTCTGTCAAAAAGAAAAAGTTGCTGAGAGAAAAATTTTAGGAAATTTTTAGAAAATTTTAGGAAATTCCCAAGCCAGGAATTCTAGAGAGGAAGAGATAAAAAAAAAAAAAAAAAAACACATATGGCAGAAGCTACAAAATGATGGCGCAATGGGTATGGAGCCCATATTTCTACATTTCTGAGAATAGCCGAACCTTATTTCTGCCTATGGCTAACAAGCCAGAAGTGATACAACAGAGATATGTGATACAAAAGGCATATGTCATCAAAGCCAATTATACTCAAGAATTCTTCGGATGGTTTTATCCTGACCCAGATGAAATCTGAAAATTCTGTACATGTCTCAAGTAATTAAAAGTTTCTAGGCTTTAACAAGACTTCACATAATTCTCAGGAAAAGAGCCTGGTGTCTCTGGAGACACACTGATGAGAAACATTTTCTACTGAGCACTTTCAAAAAGTTTACCCATTGATGCAGTATTATTTAAATATGACCATTTTTGATTCAAAGAACAAAATTTAACCACAACACAACAAAGTGATAAAATGAAAAATGCAGTAGTGAAAGGAATGAGGATAGGAAGTCCAGAGTGACTGGACATGTTTGTAGAAACTGAGTACAAGAAGTTTTTAAAAGAAAGCAACAGCTAGGGCTCTGCAGTTCCAGATACACGCACAGCTAACAAATGCACCTATCCTAGGAAAATCTCAGGTTTCTATCCTAGAGCTCTTCTGAGGAAAAAATGATGAGATCTAAATAACAAAAACCTATATAGATTCTGGATGCTCTGCTGGGCATAAAAACTTCAACTTTCAGAGATATTAAAAATATCTAGCAAAAAGTTAAAATAGCACATATAATTGAATTATGGAATATTAGGACTGTAAGGAACCTAGAAATCCTATTATCCAATCCCTCATAAGTTGTAACTTGGCTAAGGTTGCAGGGCTAGTTAGCAGGGCAAGGATCAGAACATAGGTCTCCTGACTTCTGAACCAAACCCCCTTCACTGCTCCAGGTGGTTTAATCACCAGCAAAATCTGACTCTTTCAACATATAGGCATATTTGATAGTTTAAGATAATGGAACGATCAGATAGCTGACAAAATTCATCACTTATCAACTGTGCCTAGGGATTTTCCTAAAAACCATGTTCTTGTTCTCACCCACGAGCCACTCTGGGGAAGTCTCTTACCTGAGTTTTGTCACCAAGATGTTGTATTTTGGGCTCAGTCAGACTTAACTTGATTTATAGGTGACCATTTAGTAACAATATGCAAACTAGCTTACAGTTAAACAGAACTGCTCACTTCTGGTTTAGCTGTTTTTTTCTACCTGATGTGTAGATATGACAACACATAACAATACTAAGTAGAAAGATCTGCTTACAAAACTGGACTCTTGTAACAAATTCTTCTGTAAAAAGAATGCTGCCCCATTCATCTGGGTTATATAATTTTTTATCAAAATTATCCATGGAAAACATCTTCAATAGTTTCATAATGCACACATATTGGTCAATATTCTTTTAAATAAAGATTAAGGCCATAACCAGTAAGGTCAATATGAACCTACAAGTTATTAAAATACCTATTAAATTTTTTTCCTTTCAAGTAGACAGTATTTTTTAGAGCAATTTTAGAGGCACAGTAAAATTGAGCAGAAAGTAAGAGTTCCCATATACCTAATATCCCTACGCAAATATATCCTTCCCCACTACCAACATCCCACCCCAATATATTTGTTACAATTAATGAACCAGTATTGACAAATCATTATCACTCAAAGTCCATAGTTTACATTAAGGTTCACGCTTGGTGTTGTACATTCTGTGGGTTTTGACAAATGTATAATGACATGTGCCACCATTATAGTATTATATGGAATAGTTTTACTGCTCTAAAACTCCTCTGTGCTCCATCTATTCATCCCCTCCTGCCCCCAATACCTGACAACCACTGATTTTGGTTACTGCCTCCATAATTTTGCCTTTTCCAGAATATCATATAGTTGGAATACCATATAGTATTTAGAGTTTTCAGACTGGCTTCTTAGTACTATGCATTTAAGTTTCCTCTATATATTGTTATTGCTTGATAGCTCATTTCTTTTTAGTACTAAATAATATTCCATTATCTGGATGTGCCATAGTTTACTTATCCATTTACCTACTGAAGGACATCTTGGTTGCTTCCAAGTTTTGGCAATTATAAATAAAGTTGCTATAAACATCTAGATGCAGGTTGTTGTGGGAACATAAGATTTCACCTCATTTAGGTAAATACCAAGGAATGTGATTGCTGGATCTTATAGTAAGGTTATGTTCAGTTTTGTAAGAAACTGCCAAACCGTTTTCCAAAATGGCTGTACCATTTTGCATTCCCACCAGCAATGAATCAGAGTTCTTGTTGCTCCATATCCATGCCAGCATTTCATGTTGTCACTATGCTGGATTTTGGTCATTCTAATAGGTGTGTAGTGGTATCTTGTTGTTTTAATTTGTATTTCCCTGATGATATATGATGTGAAGCATCTTTTTCATGTGCTTATTTGCCTTTTGCACGTCTTTGGTGAGGTGTCTATTCAAGTCTTTGGCCCTTTTGTTAATTAAGCTCTTTGTCTTATTGAGTTTTAAGAATTCTTTGTATATTTTAGACAATACTTTATCAGACATGCCTTTTGCAAATATTTTCTCCATCTGTGGCTTCTCTTCTCATTCTCTTGACAATGTCTTTCAGAGCAGAAGTTTTTAATTTTAATGAAATCCAGCTTATCAATTATTTCTTTCATGATTCATGCTTTTGGTGTTATATCTAAAAGGTCATTGCCAAAAGAATGGTTTTACTTTTTTTTTTTTACATTTGTGTTTTACATTTAGTTCTGTGATCCATTTTGAGTTAATTTTTTGAAGGGTGCAAGGTCTGTCTAGCTTTGTTTTTTTTTTCACTTGGATGTC